TTTGCTTAAGTTTTTGGCAGTGCTTTGAATATTTTGGACATACCTTTTACATATTTTATAATAAGATTATTTTCACCATTATCAGTTCGACGTTTTAGTTCTTCTTTAAGACTTTTGAAATGTAATTGCTGCTTAGGCGTTTGGTTGGAATAAACCTTTATAGTGTCGCATTTTAGTTTTTTCTTGTTACGTAATATTATTTTGACCGTTTCTTGAGATTTGAAGCATACTTTAATAGGACGGTGTTTGTTAGGACTATATTTACGGAGACGAAACATTTTTTCCGGTGTTATGTCACCGTCAGTTATCATCAATAGTTTTGTAATTTCTTTTTTATCCATATCGGTCCTTTCCTCCTTGTCTGTAGCTAGTGGTTCCGGAATCCCTGTAAATAAGATATTCCTACTTCTTATTTCACAATTCTTGATTTCAGTCAGCATACTTTCATACACTTCTTCCGATAAAGATGATGAGGGGGTTACCGCGCCTTTAATTGTTCGACTTGGGATTCTAATGACTCAATCTTTATTTCGGTAGCTGTGTTTTTATTAACTAAGTTTAATATGTCCGATTTCATTGCACTTTGTTCTAAGGAAAAGTTGTTAACTATTGTTTTTATATCGCTTATTTGTTCTTTGATGACAACAATATCATTAGATACTTTGTCTATAAAGTCCTTTTGACTAGCACTAAGTGACGATAACATAGCCATTATTTGTGCCATTTGTTTACGCACTTCACATATTTATTCATTATCGTCAGACTGCTTTCGTTTATTTCGAAAGCTACCCGAGGAAAATTCAGAGAACTGAGGAGCTTGGCTGTTACTTGCTAAATTTGCCTGAGAGTCACTACGTCCAGCCCCTATGCCACTTCTAGTCGGAGAGCGTAACATGTTGTTTTTTTTTTAATACTCGTATATCCGTGGTAGGATTACTTACGTATTACTTCAATGAGTGACGATTGTCAGGCAAAACAAAATTACTGAGCCTGTCTGTCCCACGAGGTGGAGAGGGCTTGCCTTCTCTTCAGTATCTTGAGTACAGCGTTTGAATGCACACAGTTCACTAAGCAATTTTGTAACTTATGAGATTTAACGTAGATCATACATTAGATAGTACTAGAAATAAAGTTTTTAAAAAAATAGAGTAGCCCGGCGAATAGAATATTTTAACCGCGGTTCTGCTTAGGCCCATCTGAAGAGCTAAGATTTTTAGTTTACGAACAGGATTTCGTTGGATTCGCGCCTTCACTGCTTTGATGATCGCGGGTGTCCTAACTGTACGAGGTCGGCCGGTCCTCTTACGATCTTCGAATCTTGAATCTTAAGACGATTCACGTTTGATAGTGCGATAAACAAATCGTAGGGTTATTTTCAATTTTTGTAGTATATTGAAAATCTCTTTTGGCGCGTAACCACAGCAGTGTAAGGCGATAACCGCTACACTTTCTTCTTTCTTCGACCACTCCATATTTTGAAAATGAATGAAAATTAATGTCTTTTTTATTTTCGGCTAGCGCAAAAGTTATATTTTTAAAATTGGGGAAGTTCATCTAGCCAGTATTCAAAAATTTTAAATAATAAGGTTTTGACAGAACTTACCAACCGACTAAGTATAATGTGAATACGATCTTAATTGGTCAAGTTGTGTAGAAGCTACACGATTATTACCACACGAACCACTTTGATTTATTTGAACACTTTGACTGCGGTTTGCAGACACATGAATTATATGGAACGCACGGGACAGCGAATGGGATAAATATGATTTTTTTTATGACAGTGGTTCCTAACTTCGTGCTGCGACTGTCATAAATTAATTGTGCATAGGTGTTTTCTCAGAGTAATTATTAGCATGTGCAGTCTATTGAAGTACGTTTTGAGAGCTGTCAAAACAAAGTGTAATGCACGTAATACCGTCATAATTTTTATAGACATATAACTATTATTTGTATAATCCCGATTACTAAATAATAATCGTGGTTATACTAATTTAATTTAAAATAGAAAATCGATAATATTTTAGACACAACTGAACGTAGCAAATTCTTATTGTATGATGTAGTAATTTATTAATGATGTCAACTATGAACCCAATTAAAAAGTAACTAGTAGATTTTTTATACAAGAAGTGTGGCGGCGCTGTCACGGGTGACAATCGAGCATACAATCCACCTGATGGTGAATATGTTCTGTTATCCATAGACACTACACATCTTTTAAGAATCAAAATACACATGCGTTGTCCCCCACTGAGGGCTGAGATTAGATGCCTCGTTAGCAGCAAAAAGTGTCACAGGTTGTTATCATTCACCATATGAAATAACAGCATTATATAGCTATTTATGCTGCTATTCAGCTAGCGATAGAAAAGGCTATGCTCAGAATTTCTCTGCGTGATAAAATCCGTAATGTAGAACTAAAGTAACTGACATAGCCCAGCATATTAGTAGACTGAAGTGGCAATAGGTCATTCATATAACTCGAAGAATTGACAACCGGTAGCGAAGAAAGGTTTACAGTAGCAGCCTTGTAATGTCAAGCGCACGGTAGGGCAAACCCCTACTAGATGAACTGACGACCTGTAAGATTAGACTTCATGATATTTATTAAAAAATAACGCCATGTTATAAAAGCTTTTAGAAATTTTTTTTTTACTTCGCAAATATCCGCGTCATATAATAAAATGATGTGTCTTACCTAGTATGAAGAGCACCTCCCGCCCTTTCATACTAGGTAAGACACATCATTTTATTTTATAACGCGGATATTTGCGAAGGAAAAAAAATTTTTTTTCTAAAAGCTTTTATATAATGGATTTCCGCAAAGTAACGCCTGATTCTATTAATTATTAATTAACGCCACGTTATTTAGAGTGAAGATTTTTAATTGGAAAAAATAATTTTTGTTTTTTTTTTAAAATCTTTATATTTTTCAGATAAAATATAGCTTAGGTCCCTCATGACATCTATTTGTTTCATCGCAATCGTTTCAGCTATTCCGCTAATTAGCACAGACAGACGGACAGACAGACAAATATTTAAAAAAATGTAGCATGCAAATAACCACCTGAACTTAATAGAAGCCAATTAAAAAAAACAAAAAAAAATTCACTATTACAGACAGACATTTCAATTTTATTTATATATGTATACAAAATGTAAAAAAACCCAGTGGTTCCCGTTAAGATCGTTATCAGAAACAGTATACAAATAACTTTACTTCAGAAAATTAAAAAAATTAATTAAATTAAAAAAAAATAATTAAATTTTTTCTATTACTTATTTTATCTTAGCACTTTCCCTTGCGTATGTGGACTATGAGAAAGCCTTTGATTCCGCCGCGATTTGGGCGGTACTGCAGTCCCTTCAGCGGTGCTAAGTTGACGTGTTTGTAAAGTAGGGCTACGATGGCTATCCGAGTACAGAACCAGAGTACGAAACCTATCCAACTGCAGAGAGGTGTAAGACATGGTGACGTTATATTCCCGTAACTATTCACCGCTGCATTGGAAGACGTTTTCAAGCTACTGGTCTGGAAGGGATACGGTATTAACATCAATAAACCGCCCATAGTTGAGGTTCGGAGAAAATTCAACCCCTAACAACTAAAGGCGGTGTACTTTTTGGTCAATATATTCCAAGAATACATTCCGGAAAGTAGGAGCCAGGGTGAGCGGGCTCCTCTTAGCGGTGAAAAGACACGCTTGTGTTTTGGAGGCGTTGAATCTCACGAGATTGGCATCGCCCCATTCGGAGACTGCCTGTGGTGTGAGATTCACACGCTCCACCATGGCTTCTCTTTCGGACTGGACTTTTCGACTGGCCCGGACACTTGGTTGGAATAATTTTTTATTTGCAAACTGGCGATGCACCCCGGCTTCGCACGGTTGATTTCTGGATCTCGACAATAACGCCACCTACCGGGTCCAATTGTGAATCTAAACTATTATCTAATCAACTTAATCACACACACACAAAGTTTCATCAAAATTGGCCCAGCCGTTTAGGAGGAGTTCAGTCACATACACGCGGACAGAAGAATTTTATAATATATAATATGCATGTATTAAACATATAAACTTTTTTTTTAATTATTCTGTCTATTTATAAAACCGCAACAAAATCCGTTGCGTAGTTTAAAAGATCTAACCGTACAGACGCTGGAATGCGACTTTGTTTTATACTATGTTTTATCACATCTGCATTGGCCGGGGAGTAACAGTATTGTATATGTGTAACAAAGGACCCCGCTTTACCAATGCGCGTGTCAATTGGAGTTAATAAAACCACATACAAGAATTCTGAAGTAAAATTATTTCCATACGTTTGAACACTCTCAGAACTCCCGATACCATCCACGCCATCTGGATGATTGGCGGTCCACCAATGTGCGATTTAGAAGATGTTTTCTTCCTCGCACAACTTCCTTGTGGAATCGATTACCACCGATACGACTTAGGGACCTTCACGAAAGGAGCCTACTTCTTTTTCAAAGGCCGGCAACGCATCTGTGATTCCTCTGGTTCCCCTGGTGTTGCAGTTGTACATGGGCGGCGGTAGTCACTTACCATCAGGTTGAGCCTCGTGCTCGTTTACACACTCTACTATAAAAAAAATATAAAAAACACTGATTCTGATAATGGACTTAACGGGAACCACAGCGTTTTTGTTGCATCTTGCAGATATTTAGTAGCACCGTGTGGAGGCGCCGTGAGATAAACAATCACCCCACTTCAGCTCGTAAGTATCGCAAAAGGCGACCACGAGAAATAATAAACAGATCTTGGCTTCCTATAGATGATGTTATATCATACTGTTTACACCAGACTGGCGACGGACAGTAGCATCAAATATGGGAGACGTTTGATACTGCGAAAGTCAATCCGCCTGCGATAAGGTTAAGGTTATCTCCCTCCAACGGAAAAGGCCTATGTTCAGCAGTGGACTTGTGAAGAGCTGATGATGAAGATACAAATAACAAATTTATATCTTTACAGATAAACCCGCCAGGCATTCGAAATAAATTAGCTTGGCTGAAGAAGACATATGGTGATATCGAGATACTTATAACGGAAAATGGATTATCAACTTTCAGCGATGATCTGAATGATGTAGAGCGATTAAATTACCACAGGAATCACTTAGAACAGGTGATTATTGTTATTTTTTTTGTTAAGAGAGAGAGAATGAATTCATTAAGCTGTTTTGTCCTGTAAGCCGTCATAATCATCGTCATCATTACAGCCCTTCACAAGTCTATTGCTGAACACGGGCCTATCCCAAGTAAAGCCACAAAGCACAGTCCTGAGCCACCTGCATTCATCGACTACCTGTATAGAAACAATACAATAAATGTATTTGATTTGATTTGGGAAAAGTCAGAAATACATAGGATCTCCGATAATCTACCAGTCTACTTTGCCCGTAGGTGTCGTGAGAGGTGACTGTCGGAAAAACCAGAAAGACATCGGGGTCTCCTATTGGTATTCTGCGTCGCGTATATACGGGACAGCCTCAAAGGTGTGAGTCCAACCCGTCTAGTGTGGCGATTACGACATAGTCTCCCTAATTTAGAAAAGGCCTATGTCCAATTGTGTTAACGGCTGATGAGATAGGTGGACTATAAATATTGGTAGAAATATGCTGCGATGGATTAAGGCTGAAATACGAATGGGTTGTTTGACCGGGAATGGACCACACTTGCACAATATACCAGCATGGAATTACTATGTTTCGTGTTATCTGTGACAATAACCGTAAACCCTTTTAGTACGAAATGATAATGAGGTGGTGAGGTAAGAAAGAAATAGATATTTATATTTAGAAAGAGATAACGAGGCATTTCATCTTAGTCCCCAGGGTGACAACTTATCTGCATTTGACGTCAGGCTAAAGCCCGCTTTTCACTATGGGATATAATATAATATATATTACATCTCGAGATATAAATTAATATTGCTCACCATACATTTCCTATGGAACCGTTTACATTGAGCTATAATATATATTACATCTCAAGCTATAAATATTTTTTCGATCGACCGAGCGATATTTTCATATTATATTTCGTCCCCTGTACCCCGCACACTGTTCCGCGCCCCCGCAAACGGTGTGCGGGGTAAAGGGGGGTAATCCAATGACCAATGACGAACGCATACTTGTTAAAAGATATATCTCACAGTGTGAACGTCAATCGCGGGATATCATTTATATTTCGGGATATAATATATATTATATCCCATAGTGAAAAGCCAGCCTTATGTGTGGTAGTGCCATGTTGAAGCCATATTATGGTAGTACCACGAATGGGTCGGCTCGACTGAGGAAGGAACACGTTGTTACAGAATACCAGCGTAAAATAGCAGCTCGATGCTGCTGTGTTTCGTATGGTGAGTGTAGAGAACCGGAGAGTAACTGGAATACTGGAAATGAAGCATTCCGTCTTAGTTGTCAGGGGTGACAACGATTCTGCTTTGATTCTTAAGCAATTATAGATGTAGAAGCCTATGGGCCACAGCATCCACTTATCATCAGGTGGACTGCATGTTCGTTCGTCACCCTTATTCTATAAAAAAAACCATACAAATGTTTAAGTATTCGCACAGGTTTGGCTGGCCATAAACAAAGATGGTGTCAATGTGACCGGTTATACCGCCTGGACAATGATGGACAACTTTGAATGGTGTGACGGCTATGCGTAAGTAACTCGTATCCCTGTTTCCTATAAAACCACAAGAGAAATGACCGAGAAAACTAATAGCTCGAACTGCGCATCTTCCTCGCACAGCTACAACGCAGCGGTGCATTTTCGTAGCACATCTTACTCGCCCCGCTAACACAAGACCTCATCTTGCGTTACCATGGAGTAATTAGTCCCAAGATCGATTGACGAGTCGACATTGTTTCTGTGAGAGTTTCGTCATCATTGTTCGAAGTTCTTCACCATAATCACAAATAGGCATTTGTTGTTGATAACACTAATTCTTTATTTAAATCACAACAAAGCTAGCATTTCCCATATACCGTTACCGTCTATTAAAGTCCACTGCTGAACATAGGCCGCACCCATAGATTGTCCCATAGGGGGACATTTGCCATAGGTGCCACACTTAGCAAGTGGGTTGGCAACCGCAGTTTTTATTTTTAGTCGTTATTAGGAAGACATATGGCACCCACGGGATGATGTATATATATATATATATATATATATATATATAATAACAACAAACTTAAACAAAAATCATATTACGTATTCATTTATATCAAATTAAACTTCCTCGTTTTGAATAATATTAATATATAATTTATAAATTTTGCAACATGTTTCGGAAATCACTAAAACTAATTTCATTATTGAGTAAACCTGACTTGATGTCCTCGATAAATTTGTCACTTTTAATGTACATTTGCGATCGTTTTCTAATAAATTCCTTTGCTATAACAGATGTGTTAGCGAAAAACTGGACGTTTTTTTGCAAGCATTCCAATAAGTTACTAAATTCGGATGTTTGCCCTAACTACAGTTTAAATTGTTTTATATGTTATTTCGATTCCAATTAAGCTTCTTCTGAAAGAAGATGTAGTGACAAAAATTAAGAAAGGTATGGTGAGATGGTTTGGCCATATCCAGAGAATGAATGAAGAACGATTGACGAAAAAAGTGTATAAGGGGAGTGTGAATGAAAGTGCTGGAAGGGGTAGACCTAGGCGGACATTTCAAGACCAAATCAAGGACGCCTTGAAAAAAGACCAGGTCAAGAGTACCCTAAACCCTAGAGCATGTATGAAGAGAATAATGAAAGTGGACGAAGCGAAACAAGTATGTAAGGATCGTAGCAAGTGGAAAGAAGTGGTCTCTGCCTACCCCTACGGGAAAGAGCCGTGATTATATGTATGTATGTATATATGACGCTGTAATTCTGTTAGGCCTTTTATTTCAGCGTTGAACTTTCAAACAAGAAGTATGTATGTATATGTCGCAAGTTTATGACAAAACCTGGCGTTTGATCGAAAACCTAGGCTTTTAATCAAGAACCGCGGGAAGACAAAATTACTACTTTATTTTATCACTTGCTGTGCCCCGCGGTTTCACCTGCGTATAGATGCGCCATATTACATGGCACCTCGCTCATGTAGTTGAATAATTTTATGTTAAAAATTGGCAAGATATATGTTATAGAGCAAAGTTAAATTCTCCCACCCCCACCCGGGTGAGCCCCCCTCCGCATTCCAGAAAATGTCCCGAAGCGCGGTTTTTTCAGTATTAAGGAAAGCCGTACACTATACATGAAAAGTGTGTAGGTACAAAATGATCCTTGATAAATTTAAACTCGAGATATAACTTATAGTTTCCTCGCAATGCCACGAAATACAATATGTAACAAAAACCCTGTGGTTCCCGTTAAGTACGTTATCAGCATCATTAATCAAACCTATAGAAATAACTTTTTTTTTTAAACTCGAGTAATATTTTTTTTATTTTATTTAAAAAATAATTGTATGCAAATAGTATGTGGATTTATCACCTCTGCATTGTCTGGGGAGTAAGAGGATTGTCAAAGACCCCGCTTTACTTACCTTTAGCATATAAAATTAAAACATTTTTTAATAAAATAGAAAAAAATATGGTCGACTTTTAAAAAAAGTTATTTTTTTGAATTTGTTTGAATACTGATCCTGATAATGTACTTAACGGGAACCACAGTTCTATTATCCTGTTACCGTATATTGTAGAGTTTTTTAAAGTTTTTGTCAACTCAAATCGATGATTTGATTACATCCGCAAAGTGAGCTCTGAGCTGTACGGGGAAGTCAAGACGAAAGGGGGCGGGAGGCTCTTACGATTCGCACTCTGGCATATGGCATATTTTTGTTTACTTAGTAATGGTCGCTAGTCGGTCATTTGGAGTCCGTTTGCGTTTGGAGCGGTCGCATAATCGTAAAAGTGAAATGATAGTTTTGAGATAGTCTCTTAACGTTTATTTGAATTGTAGATTTACTGATTGTACTGATTTAATTAAAAAATAAAACAAAAAGAATATTTAAATAATACTATTTTTATTTTTTTTTCAAAATGCGTTGTCACACATGAGAAGTTTCCTAGAAGAACAAAAATATTAGAAAAAAATTATCTTGCAACTCTTCAAGCTCCTCTTCAGATTCAAGCTACCTGAAATCTTGATAAAATAGAGAAATAGCTAGTATGTAACCAAGGTAGACCCGAGGTCGCAAATTGCGAGCAGGGAGGCGTGCAGACAGCGTTCGGATTGGGCGTAAAAGCGTTTTTAACAGTGGTTAGAGCCACGCGGCAGCTTTTGCTGTCGCTCGCATGGGCCGACTCGAACCAGGATGTGGTACGCGACCTCATAGGCTATTAGCGTGAAGTAGAAGTTTACTTCTACGTTTCAACTGGTGAGTACAAGTGGACTGAGGCCGGATTCCCCACACCCCCCTTAACATGGTAGTTAGTTAAATAGAACACTACTCCAGGAGGGAAACAGCACCTTTGGTGACGGAGATCTCCCGCTGAGCATTCACGTCCACGTTACCTTACTCTTCCTGCCTGAGCGTCGCTGCTCAGGCTGCCCCGCGAATTCTGGAGGGCGGGGGGAAACTGGCCTTGTTCTTTCTTACTGAGACGCAGGTCTCCTAACCAGCTGATACTTGGTGTCCCTCCTACCCGGTATACAAATTAGAACATTCATTTGTGCCCCGGGCTGGAGTTTGCGTATACGTGATAGAAGACATCTGTTTTCAACGCCGCGGCAGTCTTGAAGGTATGGAACTGTACATCTTATAGCTGCGTCTAGACAGCAACAAACATCCCCGCATCTACGGGTGCCTCTATAGGTTACATATAAGTATAGCCGACACAGACCGACTCATGAATAACGTCCAAATGTTGCAGACTCTGTACTACAACAGGTCCCATCTGGAGAGATCGTGATCCTCGTTGATTTTAACGCCCATCAAGCTGGATGGCTTGGTTCCTGTTTAACCGATCATACGGGTAGATCTATTTATGACTTTGTCTTGGCATATGGTCTGACACAGCTGGTTACTTCACATACGCGGATCCCACATGTGGAGGATCAAGCACATTCCCTGTTGCACCTTCTGCTGGCCTTCATCCAGTCGGATATAGGTGTCCTTCGATGCCCCTCTTGGCTCTTCGGACCATTGTCTGATACGGAGTACGACGAGTACACTAACTCGCAGTTGCGTTCTGCGGGTTGCCGCCATGTTTAGCACTATAGGTTGGCCGATTGGGACAGGATGCGGTCTTTTTTTTGCATCCTACCCTTGGGGGTGGGGTTGATTTTCGCCGGATGATCCCAACGTTGTTGCTGATTCTGTCGTTGATGTGGTACTGCAGGAAATATAACTTTTTATTCCATCAGCTGTGGTGTGATCAGAGGTAGGATTCGGTCATAGCTTTGTCATGCCAGTAAAATTGTATCACACCTTATGGTGTGTTTCAATTTTGCTGCTTATGCAGAAGTGTTACCGGGCCTGGGCTGACGCACCAACGTATCGGTGTGCAAACACAAGCGCTCTTAAAAAGAAGTATAATTCCGCCTCCAGGTCCTTCAAAAGTGTCATTGGCTAGGCAAAGTCAGAGCGCATCGGCAGAGTTGGCCAGAAACTAGGTCAACTTCCTTCGGGAACACGTTGATTCTGGTCTCTCGTCAAGGCTGTCCAAGGGAACTTCTGTCAGCCATCTCTACCGTCTTTGCACAGGAAGAACGACTCACTGGCAAATGCCGCAAGGGAGAAAGCCAATCTGCTAAGCTGTCTCTTTGCGTCGTGTTCCCCTCGATGTTCCCCCCGAAATCGGGGGGAACACGACGCCGACCATCCCGCACGGAGCACTATGCAGGATGTGCTGTTTACACTGTGCTCGTTGCGCAAAACACTCCTCCCCTTGGACCTTAACAAGTCGAATGGGCCTGGTGGAGTTACTCCTATTATGCTGAAGCCGTATGCTCCGGAGTTGTAACCAGTTTTAACCCGTCTTTTCTGTTACTCCTATTCTGTATGCGTAGTCCTGAATTCATGAAAGATAAATTTGGCTAGCTGATCCCTAAAAAAGGCGACCGCTCAGGCCCGTCTAACTACGGGCCTATCTCCACCACCTCCTTGTTCTCCTAATGAATCCATTATAAGCTACCAGCTCATGAGGTATCTTGAAGCTTCAACTAGTGATTTTCTGGTCTACCTGACTCATAGATGTGTGGAGGCAGTAGAGTCCAAGGGAAAGGCATTGATCGTTAGTTTGGACATTGCGAATACCTTCGATCGGGTTTGGCACACAGCGCTTCTTTACAAGGTCCCTTCCTATGAGCTTCATGAGAAATTGTGCGATTGGATCACCAGCTTTCTTGTAGATCGGAACATCAAGATCGTAGTAGACGGTGCATGCTCCGATTACAAGCGTATTAACACTAGTGTTCTAGAAGGTTGCGTGCTATCACCATGCCGTTACTTCTGTATAACAATGATATTTTACAAACCGGTAACATTCATTGTTAAGCGGATAACAGTGGTTATGCTTTATACACCGGTGTATACCTTTGCATCCACATATTGAATGACGTGCAGAGAAGAGAAAGCCAATATGGCCTCTCTTCTTTTCAAAAAGCTTGGCGTGCCCAGCAGAGCGTGACAGCATTTCATGCCGGCACACTGCCTCGGTGT